TATGTGCAAAGTTTCGTGGCGATCGGTACAAATTTAGATTTAGCTCCCATATATAGCTTCGCCCGATTTTAGGTAAATAGCCCACTAAAGTCCCTGGAAATCTTTTGGTATAGCGTACTGAATTAAGTCTAGAATGATGTGTGCAAAGTTTCGTGACAATCGGTTCAGATTTAGATATAGCTCCCATTTATATTTTCATCCGATTTAAGGTAATTGGTGTACCAAAGACCCAATATATCTGGCATTTGGGTCTATAATAATTTGTGCTAAATTTCATGAAAATCGGTTCAGATTTAGATATAGCTCCCATATATATTTTCGGCCGATTGTAGGTAATTGGTGCACCAAAGTCCCTGGAAATCTTTTCATTTGCTCGAATTTTGGCATAGCGCACTGAATTAAGTCTAGAATGATGTGGCAAAGTTTCGTGAAAATCGGTTCAGATTTAGATATAGCTCCCATATATATTTTTGTCCGATTTTATGTAATTGGTGCACCAAAGTCCCTATATATCTTTCGATTTGCACGAATTTTGGTATAGGGTACGTTGGTCAGCTAAGTAATTCGCTTTGTTACAAGAGACATTTGGGTTTGAAAGGTTTTTTGTATAGAAGCAATAGCTTCTGGGGAGAATATTTCAACAAAAAACTAAGGGAACTGATGAGGATCAGTGGCGTGATCCGAAACTATAGTCTTCCCTGCCTTTCCCCTCGGCAATCAATGCCATACATTCCCCACTAATAAATAGTTGTTTTTTATAAAAACAAAATACAAATAATATCCCAAATAAACCGCCAACACTACTGAAGTACTGAATTAAGTCTAAAATGATGTTGCTAAGCTGCGTGAAAAGATCCATAGCAAGGCCGAATGACACAACGTACTGAGGAAATATATATTAGTCTCTGGCAATTTTCCCTGAAATCGGTTCAGATACAGATATATAACAAAAACGCGTCGCCTGTTGGGATACATATGGTCGATTCACTATCAAAATTAAACAATTCTCAAATCGATAAAATATTAGAACCACAAAATAAACAATATTTTAATTCTATAACAGTTTTTAACAACAATTGTTAAAAATGTTGTTAATAAACAAGACCAAAAAATCCCAAGTTAACATATCGACAAATATTCTTCAATATTGAACATGCCTGTTTTGTTTTGTTCAAAATTTGTTTGTATTTTGTTTTCAAAATGTTCAAAATAAAAAGCTTTTTGAAAGTTTATCGACAATTTGTCTACATTTTTACAGAATAACATTTTCGTTACTGCAAACGATTTTATGTGTAGACAAAAGTGTCGATTGTCGGATCGTTATAAGTTACTGAATCGACCTACTGATTTATTTGTGAAATATTCTTTCTTAACCCTTTCAGTGTTTTTGTCGAATATATTCGACATTTAAAAGTACTCTCTTTCTTTGCGATTTTTCGGTTATCCTATGCACAGTTAATATTGATGTATTTGCTGAAAGACAGACGAAACACGCCGAGGGTTAAAATGACAGTTGCTATTTTTCTAAACTATGTCCAAGGTGTATTTAATAAGGTGTATGCATCAGATACAACAACAAATATTTTACTAAAACAACATTGTTGTTATAGAAATTAAATTGTCATGCTGACAATAAGTTTTTGAAAAAAAAAAAAAAAACAATTATTAATTTATTTCTGTCAAGAACTATTCTTTGAGGAATAATTAATGAATTTGTGTATTCTTGGGTTATTGGCGGTTTTCGGTCAGTGAAAAATAATGTTTAAGACCTGGTCGCGATTAATTTTAAGTTTCCCACATGCAGCCCATGGCTCCTTGTGATGTTGTTTATATCGTTAATTACAATCTATTTTTTCTATGGAGTGACTTCAAATCTTGCCTTCTTAAAGAAAATTGAAGGACATAAATCCCCGGCCAAAGACTAAATCATGGAAATTGTGTTGACTAAGCACCAAGGGCCCATTCCAATATAGGCTAACATAATCTCCTCAATTTTATGAGTAGCTGAGATTTATGGACAGATTTCCAAATGTTTTTGACAAATTTTCTTTACAATCTAGAAAAAAGTTTGAAACCATATGATTGTCACTTACACCTTATTAAATACACCTTGACTATGTCCCTTTATATGATTTTAAATACAAAATCTTAGATTTTTATTGCGACAAAATTTTTTTTTACACTGAAAGGGTTAAGATCTACATAAACTAATCTAACTTAACCAAATCTTATATACATAATGAACACACCATATATAAGTCGTTAATCGTGTCATGAATGCTATTAATAACAAACTAGTTTGTTCGAATTTATATTTTGTTATTTCATCATATACGAATTTTAGGGTTTCTCTTAAATGAAAATCATCTGAAATGGACAAAATCACACTTCAATAAACTAAATACAATAAAAAATTTGAGAAACACGTTAATGTACGTTGTTTTAAAAATTGTTTTCATAATATGAATTCAACTAGAGTAACTTCGGGTAATGTGGACTATGCGTCTAATGTGGACCAACCCACATATATAAGAAAATGTTTGAACTATGTCAATGCCGCCTTGATAAATGTTTTCCTAATTAGTGAAAACAAACAACAAACTTGGTTTTTAATAAATAATTGCAATGTTGAAAATGTAGTAGTAGAAAATGTAGCTCTGCTTGTAAAAGTGTGATTTGAACATTTTTCAGCACAATAGTCGAAGGTTTTTGCAAAATAGTCGAACACTTTGTTTTTCTCGAATATAAAGAAGTTATGTGGTTTCCTTGTTTTCTTTAACGAAAATATACGTTTAGCTGTAATTACAATCGGCGATTTTTAATTTTTATTCATTTTTGAAGCCGATAATTATTTTTAAATAAAAATATTTAATGTCGGCTAATGTGGACCACTATAAAAAAGTGGGATCTTTTCATGAGGACGTGTTCGAAACATGGGCGCATTTAATATGCGAGAAGATATTCTATCCTCTGAAAACTCGATATACGAAATCACAGGTGCTTCGGTTGGACAATGAAGAAGGGACCTTCAAAATACCGCAAATGGGGCCTATTCTAAAACATGAACCCATATATTTATGCATTCATTGTTACCCATAAGTGCAATAAATTGAATTTTATCCCAACCAATCCACAACCTGGTCCACATTACCCGCCAAGTTATTTTTATTCGTGGTTAAGAGTTTTTTGAAGTATAATGCAATAACATTTTTATAGACAAATATATATGTTTGACCTGAAATATATTTAGCCAACAAATCTACTATGTTGTGAAAACAAATTGTTTTTATTTTTTACAGTTGTTACGCACACAATATCAAAAAAAGAAAATGGTGGTCCACATTACCCGAAGTTACTCTATATAATGTAGAATGCATAACGGCGATAATCTTAATTATTTAGAAAAGTTATTATAAATAAAAAAATGTATGACTACACCAGGGACTTTGACAATGTACGATTTTTCAAAAAGTGGAATTTATCAATTGGCTAGTCAAATCAGTAGTGATTTTTAGAATTTTATGGCAAAAGGAATTGCTTAGTATGGTATTTCGACGCAAAATTTTTCAGGTTTTACGAAATAAATTCTGTAGGACTATTCTGTAACTTTTAGCAACATTCGATAATGTTTAATTTTCTTTTGTTATTATAAAAACAAAAAGAAAAAACAAGTGAAATTGTTGTAAACTAAACAATGTCGAATGTTGTTAAAAAGTTACAGAATATGCCTACTGATTTTCTATTGTACGTTTTTATTTAACAATAAATGCAAACGTTTTTTAAGAAGTGTGCCACAAAATGTTTTCGTGAGACATTCTCTTTTCTTGAAACCAAAATTAACAATTTAGAAAAATTATAATCTGGCATTAATTATAATATTTCTTCCGATTATCCTTTAGATTGTTCTCAATTCTATGTTTTCTATTATATAATACTGTCATATGTAAACTAAGCAAAGAATGTACAACAAAAAAGATCGAAATAGAATTATGGAATTAATACCTGCGAATAAAAAGCGGTTTAAAAATTGGTTGGTACTTACCGTGTGATTTAGGCATGAAATGTGTTTCGTGTAGTTATCCCGTGTATTTTAAAATTCAAATGGATATAATTAAAAATCAAGGTTTATTAAAGAAATATTTAAAATTTTAATAAATCTACGATATAAAAACCATCGTTTTTTTCGTTGATTTCTTAAAATACATGGAAGAACTTTTGAACTTATTAAACAAATATTTATGTAGATGTAGATTGGCACTTAATGGGGGGAAACTTAAATCTATGCTCAAATACTTTACCTAAAACGATAATACTTATTATAAATCCATATTTAAGAGGATATATAAATATTTGAAATCAGATGAGGACAGTAGTAAAGTGGTAGTAAGGCACATTGATTGCAACAGTTATGGTAACGTTGTGGGCCTCAAAGAACAATTGAACGTTAAAGAACGATTTACAGTACAGTTTCAGTACCATCTATCGATTCCAGTGAGCTCTATATTTGAATTTCTTTGCAATTGTAATGTTCCAGTTTACATTTTTAAGATTAATATGTATATTTTCTTATTAACTAGTATACTTTGTGTTGCTGTTTTTACTGGCAATAGAAATTAGATATACGAGTAAAAATTATGATGCAGGATATTGTAGCTTTTAATATTTACAGTCTTAATTTATTCGTGTGGTCATCATTTATCATCTGTGTTCATATGGTGGTTTCGATGAACTCTTGTATCGGATATTTGAATATGAGCGATTTCTTCATACTTCTACGAGTTTTAATACAACGAAATTTTACCATCATTGCGATTTAATTTTGTGCAGTTACAAACACATCGCGACAAAGTTTTCGGAAATTACTCAATTACAATTATGTTCACTATGCAGTGTTGCTTCTAAGCATTTTGCTCAGTCATTGCATATCTCTTATTTGTTCACACGAGGTTTCATAATAGGATGACGAACGGGCGGACGCTCCATTGTTAATTATCACTTGGTTATATTTTGACAGCTGCACTTGTTGCGGCTGCATTAGTAGTGTTGTTATTGCCACCAGTGTTGTTGTTAGCTCCACCGCCATTGTTGTTGTTGCTGGCATTTTGGATTGCGTTGGTTCCGTTGGTTGTACCGTTGCCCATACCTTTGAGCAGTTCCATATATTGGAATGGAACATGAAAGTTTTGTCCTTTGTGTTCGACAATCAAATGGCCACGGCATGATGACGCACCAACAACATTTACACTTTCGCCCTTTTTCAATTGTTCGGTAGGCGGATTTGTTATGGTGTCCTCGGGAAAGTTCATTTTCATAACACGCGTTTGTGGAAAGCTTAATTTTGTGTTACCAGTTATAGTGTAATTACGAGATGGTGGTACAGGTGGTGGACGTTCCTGCAAATGGATAGAAGTGGAAAATAACAAATTATTAGCTGGATTGTACACATACTTACATATGAATGAGAATTAAGTATGTATAAGCGAATTTTTGACAAAAAGAATATATGTATGTATGTTCTGATTGAATTTTATAGTTGATAACTTAAATTGCAATAAATACAGTGAGAAACAAAATTTTATGACAATGGAACGATATATCCACCGCTATTGGTCTGAATGCTGTTGGGCCTAGAGCTTATAATCACCTGTAGCAATTGTATAACTTCACTGACCAAAAAAATACATGACGACAGACGATAAAATTTGCTACTCATCCTTCTTTGAAACTCTCGAATGCGACTTGCACAATGATTTCATTACAAGCAATTCTGATAGAGAAGTCATGTAAACTGTGGATTTTCTATGAAAATGACAAGGTGTAGGCTTTGTAGAAATTACTACTATATTGGATAGATACATTAGTAGGGAAAACTTTTCTATAAAATGTTAAGAACCAACCTTATGTCCCTGAGGATAAACGGATTGGAGAACTTCCATTTATTAATGGAAAGGAGATACAAATTCCATACTCACACTCCTAAACCTTTGGTGCCAATTTCTATGGTAGCCAGTGGACTATCGCATCTATACTCTAAACATAGCATTGAAGATTTCATGTCCTTCTCATGCCCCAATCTACTCAATTGCTACTGTATTGCTGATGACAAATGGATCTTCAAATTAGGAAGATCCACAGATATGAGATTTTATAAATTAAAGAAAATTATACACAATGACGTCACATTTGTAAAAGACAAAGGGCGGAACAATACCACAATTGTCAAAGGCCAGGCCACGTGTAACATAACTGCGGTATGACATACAAATGTGTGAAATGCTCGTAGGACCATGGACCTGGCAAATGTTTAATCCCTAGCAAGAAAATTTTAGAAAAATTGCCAGAAGAAGAAGCCAAGAAATTTATTTTGAAATGTGCAAACTGTGGTGCTGAAGGTCACCCAGCTAATTCCAAAGAATGCCCTAGGATTCAGGCTACACTCCAAAATAGGGCTGAAAAAATAGGCACTCAAGAAAGCGAAGGTTGCCTGAAGTTCGTAATGGAATTCCGTTCTCATTTATTATTCGTTCATCCTTGCTTATTAATTCGGGGCCAACACTAACCTCAATAAACCTAAATAAAACGCCAAATACGGCTGATATAAGGATTACATTATAAATCCTACTTAGGACAAAGTTTAGCTGAACTACTTATAGATTTGGACGAATTCAACGATGTTTTGTCATAGCTAAGCACAAACTTAATAACTGACATAGATTTTGCATTGATGGATACACAATTTACATGCAGTGTAGAGGGGGTACTGTTATCCTTATTAGTATAAAAACCGGCAACATTGAATCCTGCTGCGCCATTTTTAGACCTAATGGTTCAAACATAATTTTTGTGTCCATGTACCTTCAACCACAGGAGCAACTTTACCCCACCCATCTGGATGAAATCGTACATTTAGGTTCAAACAATGAAATTATCATTGGTTGCGACCTGAATGCGAAGCATCCGGATTGGGGGGTTTTGTCACAAACCGTAGAGGAATATATTATATAATTATCTATTAAACTGCCCAACACTATGCTTATGCCCAACGTCAAAGCCAACAACTAGGCCTAACAGAACAGACGGATATTTTATTGACTATTTTTTAATATCACCATGTATTACTCTCGTTTGTTGCCAACACATTACTTTAAGTCCGATCATATGGCTGTCGAGATGAAAATGTTTGTTGGCAGCACTGAATCCGCTGAGGCGCAATCCTATTTCAATTTCGATAGGATCAATATTCGTAGATTTAGGAGGGAAATTTAAAATAATATTGGTAATAATTTTCTGCCAATAAATAGAAATGTAAATGTAGCAGAAATAGATTCTTGTATTGAAGGACTTACCTCCACTTTTCAAAACGCAATTAAATTGTCAGTACCAAAAATTTAATGCCGTAGCCCATTACTAGAAGAATTGTCACGAAATATTATTCGTTTTATGCAAGAACGCAAAAGGATGAAACTTACGTTGCGAAGTACATTATATCCGGACAGATATGCAGTACTAAAAGCTGACATCAGGAGCTCTCTCAAACGAGGTAAAATTACTAATTTATCAGCAGGTAGTTAGGCCGATAGTAACCCAGATGGAAAGGAGACGTTAAATTCAAACGCATCGATGCATATATGATGCAAGGAGCTCTTAAGTTCCTGCAATCGTGTGAATTCATCGACAATATGCTAGTTAATGATATCCTCCAATTAAACGGGGACCTATTAGACCTTCTCCCCAGGAGGTACTTGCCTCCTGCAGCTTTATTAAAGCTACGCGATGAGGGTCTTTTGTATGACGATAACCGCCTCATGTTTTATCACAGAAGGCATCAAAGATACGACTGGAGAGCAAACCCTGGATACAACACAATACAATAACCCAATTAAAAATAAGAAAGTATTGAAAGAATTAAAATATACCTTCTATGCTTATACTCCAAAAGAGGAAAAACCTATATAATCATTATATGTAAAAAGATATTGATAATGAAGAATATATCAGCACTGGCCCAATAACAGGTCCTGTCAAGAAAAGTATTGGATTATCTGCCCGATGCACCAGTTACAAAGTAGATTGCCTCGTGATAAAAGATGCCAACAGGGGCAAGAATAATCGAAGGAGTAAATCAAAACAGGAACAAGTCTCATATTGATAGTCAAGAAAATGCTCTGGCATTTTAAGTCTATCTGTCATTTTACAATATATGTATTTAAATTAATCCATATAATCAACCAACAGTAGTGAACACAGAAACCCCTGATGACTATATTGGACAGAATGGATGAAATTATGTCCAAACAAATTGTGTCATATAAAAAAGTTTAGAATTTTTCCAGAAGGGAATACGTGTACCAAAGGGTGCATTACGTATGCTGTTCGATCATCCTCAAAAATATGATACAATGTACATATTAACTGCTGACCAACCAAGATTGGCGTGAGCATTTTTTGGAGCAAAATTAAGTTCTAAGTGACCACCCATGACTTTAAGTCTCGTATTAGGAAATATATGTGGTAATGTTTTTGCATTCGTTTGTAGCACGCAATACAGAACTTTTATCCGGAATTGATATTCAAATAATTGGATAATCTCAAAGATACTACTTTTTCGACCACACGATTTAAAACGATGTAGTAGAGGCTAATAAAAACAAAAACGATATCCAACAGAGTATTAACTTTTATCAGAACGCGTAACATGTTCAGTCACAAATTGATAGATTTGTTGGTACATTGCAATTTATTCCAAAATTATTTAACGGGATAACTTCGGCTTCATTTAGCACATTTTAATGTCGAATAGTTTTTTTAGAAATTTTATGTAAAAGGGAATACAGAATCTATGTGACATTAAATGTCACTTTAATATAGATTTAAAATCTATAGTAAACATTCTTGAGACATTTTTTGTAAGTTCCATAAACTTAATCTATAAATAAAATAATTTAAAATACAACCTCAATGCGACTTCAATCTATTGTTGTGCGATGCATTGTCCACACCAGTCAATATTTACCAATGTATTCATTCTTAAGGAAAAGAGGTCATTTTATGTCATGACCAGTAACAATATACACGTCCTCGTTACTTACCAAATCTAATCCGAAAAGGCTACATGTTTGTTGTATTATCTTTGTGTCACATTTTTCATTTGGATCTGGTGGCGGAGTACCAGCAATTGGCTGTGGTCTTGGTCTCGTGACATTGCTTCCTCCTGTTCCTGCAGGATTTGTGGTTTTGGCCGATAAGCGCGGCAACGATGCTGATAATGCATTGACGCCAATCGAAGCATTCGCTGTAATTGTTGTCGATGTTGTTCCTCGTGTTGGCATTGTGGCTAAAACTTGCAGATAATAGAGGAAGAACAGAAAATAACATTAAAAATCACTATAAATAATGACAAATTGAAGTTATTTATGGGAGAAAAATTCCATACATTTGCAGATGCCATGTGATGACGTCTTAATGAAGTGAAAACATATTCTAATAAAAAACATATATTATTTAGAAACGCTTTATGCAAAAATATTTGAAAACAAAAAATGGAGTTATTATAAATTCAGGATTTACAGATATATTAGAATCTCTGTGTCATTTCAATATCGTTTGTTTAGCATGTATAGTGCTTATGCGTAACAAAATACCGGTCCCTAGGAAAAATCGTGATAATTCTTAAAAATCCCATATATTTCGGTCCTCTTCGATAATTCGTAAAAGCGCCAGGGACTTCATTAAAAACTATGAACCCTAAAATATTTTACGGGGCTGTTTTTTAAATGCCTTCGTGACAGAACAATGTGTTTCAAGTATGATACGTGCCATAATGGTAAAACAAGTAAGGACAGAATCACATTTTTGTTTGCTGCTAATATGGATGGCACTGAAAAGTGGAAACCTTTAATGATCGGAAAGTCAGCGAACCCAAGATTCATTAAAAATATTAATTCATTTCCTATGGACTATCGTCCGAACAAAAATTCGGGGATGACAGGCATTTTGTTTGGTAATATGGTAAATAACAAAATAGTCAGCCTAAATCTCTGCTTCAGCCACTCATAAACAATTAAATCTTTCTATCACAATGAAGTCTTAATGCAACTCTTAGACTGCATTGAAGATAAAAATGAACACAAAATTACAATCTTGCACGCGATGAAAAAGGCCTGGAAAAATGTTAGCCAATCCACGATTCAGACCTGTTTTCGACAAAGGACCATATTAGTAAGTGAAGAACCATGTATTGAACCCAAAGTAGCCGTATGGAAACGCGTACCTCAAGATGGAGAAAATCATATCAGCTTCGACGAATACGTTCCCTTTGACGACAATGTCACTATTGCAGGCAAAGAAACGGATGACGATATGTTTTCTGCAATTGTGACTCTAGACAACGTAATCAACAAGACGCGACAAAACTCGCTGCATCAAAAAACTGATTGATTTTATTTTCTATTATATACCACAGATACATATGGGCATTTCCGGAAAAGAGTAAACCAAAGTCATAGAATTTGAAAGACTACGTTTGTCATTTTTTCTTCTTGTTCTTAGCATAAATACTAATTTAAAGACAAAAATGACAGCAAAAGAAGACTTAGACATTAATTGGCTCCCGGTAGGCCTTGATTATAGGCCATGCTTTGACCTGGACATCCTAAATCCTTAAAAATTATATTGGGTCCTCAATTGATTGAACTCAAATAACAAATGTAATATACCACCATTAAAGTAAGTTACCATAATATTTCTTACCTCCACTATTTATACCATTGTGTCCATGCAATTTATTAAGCTTAGCCGATGGAGATGTCATAAGCCCACCAGTTCCATTATTGATTACTCGATGATTAACACCACCCATTTTCTTCCGCCACTGCCAACCACGCCATGTGGCCTGAATCAGTGTTGCACTCTTGTTACGTATTTCCGTACGTAAATGTTCCAAATGTTGGCGAATTCCTTCGCTTAAGAAGACATGACGTTTTCCCGGTGCCCAGCCCAATGTAACGGAGCCCTCAACAACGGGAGGATTTTCCATAGCATGTTGCAATATTATATTGCAACATTCTTCCATTTTATCCTCGTTTCGACGTATCAAATGGAATGGCGCCAACATACGGTAGCGTGCATTGAACTGTTTAAAGCGCATACGATGGGGAAATCCCGAAGCCATAAGGTTGACCGTTTCAAGGACTTGCAGAGAGCGTATTTGTTTGACAACTGTCATGCGTTCAAAACAACCAACTGCTTCCATTGAATTGCTGCGGATGCAGCGTACAAAATGTGGGCGTGCATGTACCAGAGTACGTAAAAGGTTGTCCAAACGTGTATGGAAGTCTTGAGTTAAGGTTGATACCGGTTCGTCACCATTCAGTAGATCTGTGTGTGATGTTGGCGCTATGCGGAAACTTAAACCACGGGGGACACTTTGCAAGGCATACAGCGCCTTCAGTTCGGATCCAAAAAGATGTGTGGCAAAACCAAAGTTACACGTATGCTTATAAAATACCGCAACCAAATCGTCGGGTACTACATCACGATTTGTATCCAGAAAATCTGTTGCATCGTATTCCACTCGACCGGCAAAATGACGTATCATGAACATTCGTGGATCATGAGGCTCAGTGGTGTGCTTGATTTCCAATCTAGGTGAATTACGATGTTGCACCTTTATTTTACACACATAACTCTCAGCAGTACCGCGGGCGGCACATTCCGCATCCAACATACTCAGCAGTCCAGTGCGCAACGAAGATATCAAATCGATGCATGGAACATTATCCACATAATCCACTTCGGTATCGCAAACGATTCCCTCATCCCGACATGATTCAACGGAGCTCTTAAAGATGTGAGTATTATAAAAATGTTGCATTGTTTCGGCACACAAATTGATACACAGATGTTCCAGTTGAGCATGTGGTGAGGGTTCCTCAAATCCGAACATATCTAGGATGCCAATGAATCCATCCGTGGCATGGCGTACTGCATTGTTAAGGGCAGCCATTGATTTGGAGCCGGAATTTCCGCCAATAGTGGAAGCATGTTGTGATGCAATATCGCCTTGATTGTGTACTGATTCATTGGAATCTGAACTTAGTGTGCCCAATGTTGAACCCAAACGCTTCAGGCTATTTGCTCTCCTGACAATTGTGGCAACAGTACGGCAATAGAGAGCCTTTGCCAAGGAATCACGCGTCATGTTAGACATGTTGGCGTCACAAACTGATTTTATCAGTTGTCCGCGTGCATTGTGAGTCCTAAAAAATTCATAAAGGTGAATTACTTAACCAGAAAATGGAAATAATAACCTTAAACAAATCTAACATTAAATTTAATATATTGAAAGACTATACCAGAATACCAAAACATTTTTATTTATATACATACTGAATCTTTGTATATAGACTCCAAATATTTTATATTTTAAGACAAGGTGTATGAACAACGGAAAGGGTTCACCAACCATAACTGACGTAATGTCGGTGCAATTATTGGACGATTCTATAGAAAATATGACTATAAAACCAAGGATACTAACAGAGTATTTGTACGATATATTTAGTATAGTGAAGAAAACGGGAGTCGAAAATAAGGGTATTAATTTAAATCGAAAACATACAGTTTAAACATAAATTAGAGAATAATGACTAGCTGCAATAATCAGAAAAGACACTTAAACTAGATTTGTACCAAATAAAAACAGCATCTGGACGACTAATAAACTTTTATTCTAATCATCCCCAAAGAGTGAAGATAAATAAGGCAATAAATTTTATACATAGAGATTTCAATACAAGTGACCAACAATTCCACAAAAACAATGGTTTCCCACAAAAAACAATCGACGACCTATTAAAACATACAAAACAGAATAAAAATCTTAGAATTAGAGGGGAAAATAAAAAATCGTATAAATTTTTAACATATATCCCTTGATCTCCGGAGAGATTCTGTACAAAATTTTGTAGTGAAAATGTTCAGTAGTAGTTCAACGCAATGTAGTTTATAAGATAGCTTGTAGCGGTGTCAAATCTGATGTATGCCAAAAGATATGTCAATGACATGACAAAAACAAATTTAACCAGTGAGCGGAGCAGTATAGGCGGACGGGACCGACCATATTATAACTTACACAACTTCCACGATCAATAAAAACTAATTTTACAGCCCTTCTAATTACATGTCCAGATTCCCTTCACGGTGGGTTGTGTTGTGATGTTCGGCTTTCAACTAGGGCAAAAAAATAAGTTTCCGGTCCACTTCATACCAATATTATTATATGATCGTCATCGAAAATGATAGGCGTTTCCCTTGACCATATCTGAATCCTCATGGAAAATTGCAAAGCGATCAGCGCCATATTGGTAATGTGTGGTAATGGGTTACTAAATAATATCTGAATACGTTAGCACCTGTAAATATTTCAGTGTAACTCCTATATCAGAGTACATACGACGATATAATTGGTATCAATTTGAAGGTCAACCACTCCTCTTGGACATACTATCAACTTCTCGGGTCTATGTCCATCTGGAGTAACTATATACGCCATAGAATACAAATTTTGTCATTTTTCACACAAAAGTCAGGGTCCATTTGACCGCCTAAATATTGACCGATCTTTATGAAAAGAGGCATGCTTATTCTTTGGCCCGATCAGCTCCTCCATGAAAAATTTTGCGATGTTTGGGCCATAAATGCGACCTCTGAAGCGACCAGAAAATCAGACAAAAATAACGGTTTTGGTCCATTTCATCCCCTAAATATTAACCTAAATTGGCCTGAACCCATCCTACATGCAAATTTTCTTGAAGATTGGGTATAACTGTGGCCTGTATCGTGTTTACAAATTATAATGGACAGACGGAGGACACACATGTCTAGATCAACTCAGCTAGTCGAGATATGACGATCGGCATACTTAAAGGTGGGTCTAGGACCAATATTTCGCGGCGTTACAAACTCTTGGGGCTGCACAAAGCTATAATACCCTGACAAATCAAAATGAGTTGCCATTATTAGTTTCTCAAAAACTTAACCAATAAAAAATTTACCAAATAAAAATCTAGCCAAAGGAACTAAAATTATAAATTTATTTTATTTAAACAAATAATTGCATCTATAAGTGAAATAAGGTGTCATAAAATTTCTCGCCACACAACATTCACCTCAAATTCACCAAAAATTTCACACTACACAACATTCACGTCAAATGGACAACCGTGTCTTTTAATATCCCACCACAACAGATTCACCAAATACTAATGTGTTATAATTCAATTATGAAACGAAATCCATGACAAGAACCACACAATGGTAGTGTTATAATTGAACTCACCTCACTGTTAGACCACGAAACAGGGCCGCTGGTGGAACACCCAGTAAACTGGCCACGGCATTTAATTCAGTTTCACCCTTGACATCAACCTCTAGACTCTGTGAATAAAAAAATAATAGCATTTTTAGTACATATTTGCACCACAAATACAGAATCACCAATTTATTAGTATTGTAATTTTACAGATTTCATTTTTCAAATGCCGTATGGAATTCCAATACACAAATTAAATTTATGAAATAGCTTTAACACTTACCTGACCATCGATAAATTGTACATTTCCCAATAGTAGAACAGCGGCCAACACACGAACCACATCCAAAAATGGTATACCCAATATACCCAAACAAGTCTTCCATGCTTGAAAGCGTATCGAATCTTCTTGTTCGTTTTGTACCACATCACCGTTTTGTAAGTAACGCAAATTTAACGGTGAATATCCCTCCAAATTTAATTTCACACGTTCTTCCCGACTGAGGCCGGCAAGCATTTGATAGAAAATATGATAGTTTTTCTCTTTTGGCAGTGGTCTTATCACTCGTGTCTGGTCCAAAAAGTAACAATGAATTTTAGTCCGATACAGAGCACCATCGGTTACTTGTACTTCAATAAATTGACCAATGCGACTGGATTCGGAATTTGTTGTGGTCTTGGCTGAGCCTAAGGAACGTAATACTGTAAATGCGGCTGCCAAATGTTTAAAGGCATCCGTTTCTGGTCCACCACCGGCGACGGCAAATAGTTGACGAAGTAATAGCATAGAACAATGTGTTTTACCAGCACCCGATGTTCCGGATAAAATAATGGCTTGTGGATAACCTGTTTCGGCCTGTTGACGTACGGCTTCCTGGACAATTTTACGCAGTTGGGGTGCCAACGGGAATGCTCGGGTGGATGTAAGTGTCAAGGGATTGCCGACATGAAGATATGGATTTATGGACAGCAATATTGGACCGACATTTGTCTAAAACACACAATATTAAATTAAATAGTTAATGTTTTTTAATATTTTGTTATTGCAATTATATATAGAAGAGCTCATGAAGAAAAAATGTCTGTTTGGATTTATTTTTTTCAAAAAGTCAAAAATAAAAGTAATTTAAAAATGTTTATTGTACTTATGTCTTGTGGTTTCTTGAATTTGGACTATTTACAAAGTTCTGAATATTCTAACATTACTTTTTAATAAACGGAAAGCGTAAATATGATACAATAGCCACAGAATTCCGAGTCATCACCATAAACCCAATTTTGGTGTTTTTAAGGTTTTTGTTCATCGAAAATTCTAAATTCGGGATACTTTTTCGAATTTGATTTCCTTATCCATATTACGAAATTTTTGAGTTTTGTAAAGTTCGACCGGACCATAACATTCCTTTAATATGGATACAGCCGCTTCGGTATTAAAATGTAGCTTGGACCATCGGCATATGTAAAATAGGGAGATACCTGTATATGGGCTATCTAAGAATATGGACTTATATTAAAAAAAATCTTCGAATAATCAATACGGTTAGGAGAAGTAACAAAGTATATGAAAAATTTCATAGGAACATATTTAATATTGCCTATTTATACCCTTCACCACACTGTGGTACAGGGTATTATGTCTTTGTGCATATGTTTGTAACAGACAAAAATAATCGAGATAGACCCATGGTTCCTTTTGAGAATATGGATAGAATCACTTTCTGAGTCGATTTATGCATGTCCGTCCGTCCGCCTGTCCGTCTGTCCATGTTAAATTGTAAAAAAAGTACAGGTCGCATTTATGATCCGATTTGGATGAAATTTGGCACAGCTCATTTGTTTGGACCAAGGACGAATCCTATTGAAATTGGGAAAAATCGGTTCAGATTTAGATATAGCTCCCATATATATTTTTGCCCGATTTACGGGCTTTAGACCCTCAAAATCTTTCGATTTGCACGAAATTTTGGCATAGCGTACAGAATTGAGCCACGAAAGATGTGTGCCAAGTTTCGTGAAAATCGGTTCAGATTTAGATATAGCTCCCATATATAGTTTCGCCCGATTTTTGGTAAATGGCGTACCAAAGTCCCTTATATATCTTTCGATTTGTACGAAATTTGGCATAGCGCACTGAATTAAGTCTAGAAAGATGTGTGCAAAGTTTCGTGAAAATCGGTTCAGATTTAGATATAGCTCCCGTATATATCTTCCTCCGATTTAAGGTAAATGTTGTACCAAAGTCCCTATATATCTTTGGATTTGCACGAAATTTGGCATAGCGTACTGAATTAAGTCTAGAATGATGTGTGCAAAGTTTCGTGAAAATCGGTTCAGATTTAGATATAGCTCCCGTATATATCTTCCTCCGATTTAAGGTAAATGTTGTACCAAAGTCCCTATATATCTTTGGATTTGCACGAAATTTGGCATAGCGTACTGAATTAAGTCTAGAATGATGTGTGCAAAGTTTCGTGAAAATCGGTTCAGATTTAGATATAGCTCCCGTATATATCTTCCTCCGATTTAAGGTAAATGTTGTACCAAAGTCCCTATATATCTTTCGATTTGCACGAAATTTGGCATAGCGTACTGAATTAAGTCTAGAATGATGTGTGCAAAGTTTCGTGAAAATCGGTTCAGATTTAGATATAGCTCCCATATATAGTTTCGCCCGGTTTTAGGTAAATAGTCCACTAAAGTCCCTATATATCTTTTGATTTGCAAGAAATTTGATTTGCACGAAATTTGGCATAGCGTACTGAATTAAGTCTAGAATGATGTGTGCAAAGTTTCGTGAAAATCGGTTCAGATTTAGATATAGCTCCCATATATAGTTTCGCCCGGTTTTAGGTAAATAGTCCACTAAAGTCCCTATATATCTTTTGATTTGCAAGAAATTTGGCATAGCGTACTGAATTAAGTTTTGAATGATGTGTGCAGAGTTTTCTGAAAACCTGTTCAGATTTAGATATAGCTCCTATATATATATTTATATATATATATATATTTATATATATATATGATATATATATATATATATTATTTAAGGTAATTGGTGCATCAAAGACCCTATATATCTTTCGATTTGCACGAAATTTAGCATAGCATACTGAATTACGTCTATAATAATAACAAGCTATGTCTGTTGGATACATATGTAGAATATACCCAAAGTGGTGAAGGGTATCATATAGTCGGCCCCGTCCGACTTTACTACTTTCCTTACTGGTTTTAATTGGTTTTTGGGATGATGTTCATTATTTATTAGGAATCCGATATGTCAAATTAAAGCTAACTCGATTTGAAATTCGGTCGAAAACTTATTAATACCGAAAATGGAGCGCAACTTTTATGTGGGGACTATGTCAAAACTTAAATACAGTATTTTCCGAAACAAAATTTCTTTTACCCTTCAATATCCAGAAAATGTAGCTAAATTCTTCAAAATAAGACAAAGGAACGCTACGCTTATAGGGGGCTATGTGAAAACATGGACCTATATGGATTATTTTCTGTATATGTACAGTGACTCACAATCAAAAATATTCACTTGGTTTTGGCATAAGTTCGTGTTAATTAATGAATATTCTTTTTCATATCGCTCATTTGCTGCAAAACAGGCATAACTCAAAAAAAATGAGGTCTATTATAGCGAACAATCGTACATCATTAACTCGAAAACCACGTTTTATGAGTTACGCTTGTCTTGCAGCGAAGGAGCAATATGTAAACATGAATACCCTAACTTTAAATTAATGAAATAAAATTGCCAACTTTTATATAAATTCAATATAAACAAGTGAAAAAGCGTTAAGTTCGGCCGGGCCGAACTTTGGATACCCTCCACCATAGATATACTGACAGGTACTTGAAATAAAAATATAGGGAACATACCAAAATGTACCTATACCGGCATTTCTACAAAACCGATTATGGTTCTAAATATTGGTCATAGACCCCATATTTCTTTGGACCACATTTGTTTCAAATAATTTTGATTTCTTCCAAACTTTATTTCTTCCAAAATTAGTTCAAGTTCGAACATGGGGAATATCGGTCCACTTCTTCTGGTACCTCCCACAAAGGGGCTAGGCCTAAATGCGGGTTACTTTTCATGTATATGAATATATATATATATATATAAGGATAATTATCGAACCTTATGTTCTAGTTTTTTTCGTATCTTCCGCAGATGAAATGATTACAACAGAGTCTTAGAACCAAACCCAAACACGGAACAAGTCATACAACAATTTTAATATAAAAGGGGGTTATATGGGGACGACCTCAAAAAGGGGGCGAATATTAAAAATTTTTGATAGGGATATGTGTTACCATATACGACAACGAAATACCAACGAAATACCCAATAAAAACCCAATGTACCAGATTTCAACGTATTGGGCTGAAAACGCGCTCAAGAACGCTAAAATACCGAAAATTGGGAGGTACCGTTATATGGTACCTTCCATACTATCGTGGAGGGTATAAAAATAATTATTCGATAGCTATTGTTAGAATTTGAGACCATGGAACGTCACACAACGATTGCCGTGAGAAAATTAGTCCTTTATCATGCTGAGCTATCAAAATTCATCGGAAAATAGGGGAAATACTCAATATTATCCATTCATAAACCCCAAAAACAGGAAAATCCGATTGAAGTTTATTCAGGAGCACGCATTTTCATTTTGAAAATCTGTTATTTTTGCCGATGAAAGTAAACTGGGTTCACTATTGAACACATTTGGTAGGGAGACTTTTTATTCAATCAGAAGCCAATATTAATGAGACACGAGTCAATAACTCCCCTAAATACCAAAACTTGGGATGTAGCGTTATATGAGGGCTAACCTAAAAAGTGTACCAATATTGATCATTAAATATTGAAGGTTGAAAAACGTGCCTAAAACCTTGAAAATACCAAATATGAAGGTATCGTTATATGGGAGCTATCCTAAAAATCCATTCTCAATACCAAACATCAGGAGTAGTGGCAATGTACAAAATTTCAATGCTCTACTTAAATATTGTGAGCTCTATACTGATTTAAAAATACGAGCAGACTGACATGACTAAATCGACATGGAATTTTATTCCGATCAAGAATTTTTAATCTTTATGGGGTCTCGGTTCAATATTATAATACTATACAAGCTTTCTGTCATTGTTGAAAATGTTCAACTTTATATTCTTGTAAGAAAAACATACGTTACCCAACATTAATTGAGGTTTCTGAATTTACACAGTTCAAAATGCGCACGAATCACACCCTGTTATTGTATTTAGTCGAGACATAATACATAGTGCAATCGTTATGGGACATTGGTGAAATTAACTCAAGTAGAATAAAAAAAACTCTCCATATCAAACTCTACAATGTTGATATCGGTATATAAGATGATCACCGTGAAAATGTTTCGTATAAAATAAATGTGTTCGTATTCACCATGTTTTGTTCTATTTATAGCCACAAATTCATAAAAGCTGTTGTGAGGCTGCTAAAATGTGGCGAGTAGGTCGGATGCTAGCGTGCCGACTTTACAATCAGAAGTTAGTGGGTTCGATTCCCACTTCACAGTGTGTGAGTTCATGAAAAATCTTCTGTTCCTGCCACCTGAAATAAAGTTGTCATTTCTCGTAATGATGTCGTCTATCTTGGGTAATTTACGCCTGAACTTTGGATGTTGAGTCTATGATAACTGAGCGAGAACATTTTTTTTGTTTTTCTACATAAAATTATTTTGATATTTGTATACAATAAACCACCTATTCATAATATAGGTTTTAATTATCATAACGAAAATAAATTTTATTATACTATTTTAGAAATTATGGTTGGCACTAATCCGAATTATTCGAGGATATATTTATAAGTGGAGTACGATATCCTACATCTTCCTCTCCGTGAGTTCTTCTAAAACTTAAATTAAATAAACTAAAAATTGGAGAATATATCCATTGATATGGTATGTGATTGTGATTTATGGTTCTTCAAAATGTAGGGGCCACATATGTATGTGTATCTTGGTACGAAGACATTTTCCCTTTGTATCTCACTCCCTATTACAAATCTGTACATTTGTCTGGATATGTAAATTTATCATTTTAGTAAAATATACATAACTATTATAAATACTTACAAAATAGCAATTGTCATGAAAACGAGCCTGCAATGTTCGCATTACAGCATCCTCAGTTAATGGCCCCGAGAGATGAATTAGATCATCCAACTCATGCGGCTGTTTTGTCTGACCTCCAGATGGAAAGCTCTCAATCACGCCAGGAATGTTTCCACCAAAGCTACCATTGGTATTTATAGTAGGGTGTAGTTGATTGGCATATTGGTTCGATCGATAATTAATATTTTGATGGGCGTTACCGTTAGGTCGAGCATGGCAATTTGCGAATGAGATGGGTAGAGTGTTGATACCACTGCAAGGATTCAAATGTTTTTGTATGGGTATGAAGGGCAGTTGTTGCTGCTGCTGATGATGATTCTGCAACTGTTGATGATGTGACGAGTGCTGTGCTGTCTGTTGCTGAAACTGTTGTTGATGTTGATTGGTGCCGTTGGAATGGTGTGATGATGGCTGGTGATGATGCAGGTGCGAATGTTGTAAATTATGTTGGCTCTGATGCTGCAGTTGTGATGCATGCGAGCTGGATGATCGCATTGGTAGAGTGTTTGAGTTGTAATTTAGTGATGTTGTGTTGAGCGAGGTGGATAAAACTGGCATTACAATGGAATCCATAAAATTTTGGGCCGATGAAGAGGAAGGCGCTAAAGAAAAGCAACAACAAAATAATTCATTATTTATAATGTGCAATTAAATATTTTATTTAATAAAATTTAAGTTATTCGAAAAAAATTAAAAAAATACATATTATTTTTTATGATAATATTTAAGGAACCCCTTTTTATATGATTCGAAACTTTAAGTACATACTTAAAAATTGTAATTTTTTGTTAATACAAAATTATGATGGTAATAATATTTCAGTGAGCTGTAACCATGTCCGCATTCGAAAAGAAGCTTAGACAGACGAAGCCTTAATTTTTTGAAACTTTTCATAAATACGGAAACTATCGTCTTTCAGGGGTAAATATTAATTGAAATTAAGAATTTTTTAAGACAAATTAAGGCTGTCTAGGGCAAAAAATCTCAAAAAAAAAAAAAACAACAAACTTATATCAAATTATTTTCCTCGTTTTGAAGTCTTCAAAATTATGAGTGTTCATTTGCCAGTCTGTTAAAAATAATTGCATTTATATGTAAGGGAGACCGGGGACCTTTCGGTATTTTTTAGAGCTCTATATCTCAGTACTTATTAAACAGATACAAAAACTTTATGGCAGATTTTTGTCCTCTGATACTTAATTATAAAAACTAGTACCAAAAATATATAATAAATAAGTATTAGTTAAACATTTTTATAGTTTTGTTAAAAAAAGTCAAATTCGCCGAATGTGTCCCTACCCGGAGTAGCTTCGGCATTTGATGGGAACATTCGGCACCATAGTCATAGTTGAAATTCAGATCTTCTAAAGGTTCTGTTTTGTTTTAATATGCAACTGTTTGACTTTTAAGGCTATATTTTCTAGCGGCGGACGTTGACGTATCAAGGTCCTCAATACAAGAACGTTTGGTCTTATACATGTAAATATGAACCATATTAAAGGATCATTTTTAAAGACAAACCCAAAAACATTTTAAGGAAATAATATTGCACTATCTGTATATGACCGAATGTGCCCCATTTAAAATTGCCGAATGTACCCAAAAGGTACTTTCTATAGATTTCTTAAATTTTAAAAACACAAAAAACCGTAAATCTAAATAACTTTATTAGCTAGCGATTTCAAACTTTGCGACATTTATTTATTTTGATATTCCATACCTATGTATCGAAGCTAGTGATGTACGGTGAGAGATTCATATCGAAAACGCGATTGCCGAAGGTGCCCCAGTCTCCCCTACTATTATTTATTAACCATACGCACTATGGGCAAGAAATGCAATATTTTGGTAAAACGCCCATTTCAGGTAGAGAGGAAAAAATTTATATTTTTCAATTCTGTTGAGGTTTCGTAAATTTATTTTGATCCCGAAAGTCGTGCAGGAAGTGCCAAAGTATATATTAATTGTTATAGCGTCCTTGATATGTTCCAGAATCTGTCCGAATCTTCCTACTATATAAATGTACCCCCAAATTTAGGTATATTGGTACGTATTTCAAACAAATTTGCTATAATTTTGTATTTGGGATTCTCATCTCCGTACAAAATTTTGGCATAAAATAATTGTAAAAATTCGTTATATATTACATTGTGAAAAAATTGAGCGGCTATTAAGAATCCATTATAAATGATTTGACATAGGTCAACATATATTTGTCATTCATCGGGGTCACCATAAACTATATCGAGCCATATTCGCCAAAAAATCGTAACCCTCAAATTTGAAATTTTACAGGAGAAGGTTTTTATTTGATAAATTCAGATTTTATAAAGCTATTACTTTGAAATTTAGAATTGTAGTTTTGTTTTATATGAAATACTCAGTTTAATCAATTCTACGTGGGTTTTTGGAATATTACGGTTGTTTTTGTGAGTTACGTTTTTTTCGCTGTCTTGCTGGCAAAGGGTCAATATAAAAATGTGAGGGTTAATACCAAAATGTATTTTAAGAAAATGAATTTCCGTTCCAATTTTATTAAATTTATAAATATTTTCAATTAATTTAAATTAAATATCATACTTTAAATAAAAATCCTAACATAACAAAAGATACAAATAAAATAACGTAATTCATATTAAATATGTGCTAGTTTAAATAAAATTTCAAAACATCTATTATTTTAAATATCTTATCCTCCTATCGGTTTCATGTATGTGAATCTTTGATCGACTTATACCATTAGGTGGAGAGTATATTAATTTTGTCATTCTGTTTGCAATACCTCGAATTCCATTGTAAACATTGGAATAGCCCCCATATAACGGACCCACCAAATAATTGTTATTCTGGGAATTTTTGGCAATGAGCCAGTTTTTTAAACGAGTGTGCTTTTATTTGTGTTAAATATACTAAAACATTTTCGTGGAATAACCCGCCATATCTCTAAAGCCCTAAGGGTTTCAGGTATTTTATATATAGGGGAGACTGGGGCACCTTCGCCACTTTTTGTTTAGAGCTATATACCTCAGTACTTATTCAACAGATATAAAAATTATATGACTAATTATTGTCCTCTGATACTTAATTATAAAAACTAGTACCAAAAACATATAATAAATTAGTATTAGCTAAACATGTTTACAGTTTTGTAAACTTTTGATGGGATACATTCGGAAAAATAGTCATAGCCTGGTAATTATCACCGCTATCAGTCTCGTTGAAATTCAGATTCTCTAAAGGATCTATTTTGATTTAATATGCGACTGAAAGTTTGACTTTTAAGGCTATATTTTCTAGCGGCGAACGTTGACGTCTAAATATCACACAAACTATAAAAAAATATCTTTTTTCAATCGCATTTTGATCAATACAAGCACGTTTCATCTTATATATGTAATTTCAAAACATATTAAAGGAATATTTTTAAACTAATTGACCACTTTTTAATAATATTGCCTTAAAATGTAAAAACTTTTATACACGAAATACGAAATGGAATGAAAATATTACAAAAACATCTGTAAAAATACAAAAAACCGTGCATCTAATAAGTTTATTAGCTAGAGATTTCAACCTTTGTGACAGTTATTTATTTCGATACCTATGTATCGAAACTAGTGATGTACGGTGAGAGCTTCATAACGAAAACGCGATTGCCGAAGGTGCCCCGATGCCAAAGGTGCCCCAGTCTCCCCTACACCACATGGTATAAGTTCGAGCTGCTCAAATTAACGAAATTTTTACTAGTTGTTTACTAAAATCACATATATATCTTTGACATGTTATCTAAAAGCTTCCGAAGTACGGATTTCTAATATAATACTAAAATAATTGTGTGTTTCATTTATATTATTAGAAGAGAAAAAAAACGTAAACCACACGTGCGTTTAACAAAAATGTAAACAGACTGATCACATGTGTTTACGATAAAATTGTTTTTGTTGTAAAATTATAACGGTAAAATCTACAGCCACCAAATTTTCAGAGATGATGTATATTATCGAGAACTATTGATCTATCGAATAAAACGAAAATCGATTATGTTGAGGGTTACGTTTTTTTGGCGAATATGGCTCGATATATTTTTGATCAGAATACAGTTCTATGCCGTTTATGATAGTTTTGCAATTTTGCACTGATATTGCTATTACTTCTAGGATATTTGGTATTGTAAGTGACACGTATCGCTCCACTTTTGTGAATAGTCCTCATATGACGATAACCCATGAATTCGGTATTTTGGGCACTTTTTTCTACCATATCTACCATATAAAAAATACATGTATGTTCGAAATCGCTAAACTCAAAAACGACTGCGCCGATTTTGACCAAATTTTATGTACAGGCTCTATGGGGCGTGAGGAGTGTTTCTGTGTAGTTTGAAGTTTATCCGGTAGATGGCGCAATATTTTTGTTTGTGTTTTTGCACCGTAACTCAAGAACCACTGCACCGATTTTGACCAAACTTTATATATACGCTCTATATAGTTTCTTTGCATTTTGACCGATTAGAGATTGGGTGCTAAATCGACGTTAAGTATTCCGAAACCAATTCATACATAACCTGTTTTCGTGAATAGCGCGTGGGAGTCAAACGAAAAAAAATAACTTATCAAATTGAAGTAAAATTAATTTAAATCTACTTATAAAAATTATGTAAAAAACTTATAGTAACTCATCAATTTGAGAACGGAGGGACCGATTTGACTAAAAATTTCCTTCAGTTATCTTTAATTGAAGTGGAAAGGATTTTCTGAAAGAAATTTAAAAAAAATACGCAAAAATCTTGAAAAACACATTTTTAAGCAACGGCTGGACCGATTTGTTACAACTTCCAAAGTATCTAAAATAAGACTATGCAAAATATGGAACAAAGATAAGGAGGCTTAAAAAGACACAATAATGGCGAGCCAATTTTTCTATGTTTTAAAACCAAGACATGACATGAATGCCCAAGGGGTGGGTAAATACCCATTTGCGGGTATTTATTTGGGTATTTACTATATTGAATCGGTAATACATCTTACACCCTATTTCCGGGTTTCTGTTATCAAATCGATTTAGAATGGATAGTTTTACGATACTTTAACGACGTGGGTAAATACCAGAGTTTTTACCCAAACATTGGGTATAAACTCATTAACTGCCGAACCACTTGACATAGGGGGCGACAATTTTGCATACATGTTTTTAATGTCAAAGCAAATATAGAAATCCAAAATGGGGTCCCTCGGTCCAAGTTTTGATATATCCCTCATATAACCGTATCTCCCGATTTAAGGTATTTTTTGTCTATTCGACACATTTTACAACCAAATTGGCTGTAATTTGGCACAGAGTGTTCTTTTTGGGTACCAAATGTCCATGCAAAAATGTATGTATGTAGGTCCACGTTTACTGGTAGCCCCCATACAACGGTACCCCTATTTTGAGTATATTTGGCACCCAAAAAGAACACGATGTGCCAAATTATAGCCAATTTGGTTGTAAAATGTGTCTAATAGACAAAAATAGCTTAAATCGGGAGATACGGTTATATGAGGGGTATATCAAAACTTGGACCGAGGGACCCTATTTTGGATTTCTATATTTGCTTTGACATTAAAAACATGTATGCAAACTTTTGGCCGCATATGTCAAGTGGTTCCGCAGTTAATGAGTTTATACCCACTTTTTGGGTAAATACTCAAAATAGGGGTACCTTTGTATGGGGTCTACCAGTAAACGTGGACCTACATACATAAATTTTTGCATGGACAATTAGTACCCAAAAAGAACACTCTGTGCCAAATTACAGCCAATTTGGTTGTAAAATGTGTCTAATAGACAAAATTTACAAATTTATAAGGGGCTATATCAAAACTTGGACCCAGGGACCCCATTTTGGATTTCTATATTTGCTTCGACATTAAAACATTTTGGCCGCCTACGTCAAGTGGTTCGGCAGTTAATGAGTTTATACCCAATTTTTGGGTAAATACCGGGTATTTACCCACTGCCCATCTCTATACATGGAGAAAATTGCGCATTAGATGCTCTAGGTGTCTAACTTAAATGTCCTTTATTGTTCCTCAAATATATTTTCATTGAGAACGACTCACATTTTCCTATGGTTGTTTTTAATTGCAGTGGAAAGGGGGTTTTCTTTTAATCGAAGAAAATTTTGAATGTTGTGTTATTTACACTTTTTATAACTCATGGACGTCTGCACCAACTTTGATGATTTGATTGTGATTAAAATACGAATAGTAATTACGCCATCCATACTAAATTATCTCTTGAGGTAAGAGTAGTTAGATCAAAACTTGACTTGAGTAATTAGTTCAAAACTTGACCTTTCGTTAATTTTTACCAACCCTAAATTGATGCAATTCTGATACGGCAAAACAACGTTTGCCGGGTCTGCTAGTTTACTATAATTTAGTATTTTGAATTCTAATTAGAAAATCTTCATACCAAAATGTATCAATATTAATCCACATTTTACGGTAGCCTTCATACAACGGTAAATTCCAAATATCTTTCATGTGAGTTTTGGTCAGTGATGGAAAATAAAAAAATGTGAAAAGGTACCAAAAGAGTATTTTTTTTAATAAAAAAGTACCTTTTTCAAGAAAATACAAAAAAAACTTTTTTATTCAGTTTCATAAAGATGGATTTACAAAATATCACTTAGTGTATCTTTCTCATGATAATATGTAGTAATTCTTGCTTCTTTCGATTGCATTTGAATGTGTATGCTATTGACTAATTTTAATTTCAGTACCTCTTTCTCGAAAGCCAATATATCCCAAACTAACATGAATTTCAATTCCAAAGTGCTCTTGAAATTATTAAAGTAATCACGGTGACTAGGAATGTCATCAATTTGCCTACCTCAGGAGATAGAACAGAGTATGCCAAATTGAGTATCTGACAAACATATCAATTTAAAAAAAATTGGAACTCATTAACTTAATTTAATGTTTGTAATTTTAATCATAACTGAACAGTTATCAGTCGAAAACGTGTTCATTTTTTCAAGAGAAATATTGCAATCACATCAATATCTTAATCTGCATACTTTTGTCGGTCAAATCCATAACAAATTCTAATCCAAAAAATATATATATAATGGTTTAATTCAGGATTGAAATGGTACTGTAATGGTCACGGGGGTACTACGGTATTTTTTTGGTTAAAAAGATACTGAAAAAAGTACTATTGTACTGAATTTTCCATCCCTGGTTTGGGCACGCTTTCCAACCACATTGGCTATAAAGGTACCGAACGAATACAATTTATATTTTAATGTCCACCTAATGGTGGAAGGTATAAAAATGTTCGGCCCAGACAAACATAATGAAATTTTTACTTGTTTAATTCTCAATAATAGTTATATAATAGTCAATAATATAAGTCTCAATTATGTTGACATATAATTTTCTTAAAAATTTAGATAATTTTTTTAAAACGAAATACCAGTACAACAATTGTTTACCTTTGTCATTGATCTGATGTGGCAATGGATGTGGAATGGACGTATTTCGTGATGAAACAATACCCGATCCACCAGATGTTGAATTATGTGGCAATGTATGACTGAATGTGTGCAAATTCTACGAAAATACAAAACAAAAATCAAACGAAATACTTATTAGTAGTGAATGAATTTCATATAAGCTAAAGCAATGTTTTATTGTGATGTGGCAACTCTACTTACTTTATTATTGCTGCTGTTGGTGTTGTTGTTGTTACAGTTAATAATGGTTGTTGATGGCGTTGTTGTTGATGATGATGGTGGTGTTGTTGTTGCTGAGTGATGATTGTTGTTATGATGCTGTAGTTGTGATGATTGTGGTTGTTGTTGTTGCTGATGATGATGGGCGGTATTAGTTTGTGTTGTTGTTGTTGTTAGATTAGCATTATTATTACTACAATTACTGGTTGTGGTGGTGGTAATGTTGTTGTTGTTGCTGTGATTATTATTATTATTAGTGATGTTATTGTTTATTGTTGTAAATAGTGAACCATGTTGCGATTGATGCAATGATGGCGGTTGCTGTTGTTGTGCTTGTACTACGTTGTTGCCATTTGCGTTGGTGAAATTATTAAAACTAGCGTTGCTGTTATTATTATGGCTATTGTTGTTGTTGGTGCTACCGATGTTCGTACTATTCAAATTTGGACTTGAAGCACTCAATTCCAAGACCGATGTTAAAGGACCCAATTGTTGCTGCTGTTGTTGCAATGACAGACTGTTAGCATTGTTGCTATTTTGTACATTATTGCCATTGGCAATTGTACCCGGGCCTTGGCCCACATGCAAACGATTACGCAGTGTGACTAATTCCGTACTGAGACTTTTAAGTCGTTGCTGTAGATGCACCGCCTCATTTGAAGATGAGGCGTCTGTAAGATAAATAAAATCAGAAAAATTCAATTTATAATACATGCATTATCATACTATCGAATAAGTTATGTTTAAGCTAATATATTTCATTTAACAATGGCGTTTTACGAGTGTATTATATATCCTTAAATCTAACTGAGTTATACTTCAATCGATTGCATATGAAACATTATGATCCGAGTCCAAAAATAATTATATTATACCCTCAATGAAATGTACACAATGTTAATAACATTCAATTTAATTCGGCCAAGTTTTTTTTTAATAATACTATTACTAAGATCATAAACTGTTATGTTTGAATTATAGCAGATCTTAAAATTTTGTGCTATAAAATGTTAACATAGTCGACTACACTCATATAAATGTATGTATAGTGTGTGGAGCCCAAACTATACATGCATGTTGTCATGCCAATTGACCCCTTTGTGTATGTGTGAGATTGGCTAGTGTGTAGCAAAATCTTCAATCATTACTCCAAAAAATAGGATTTCCCAAATTTCAGTATGCTTCACACGTTGGGTTTGATTTTCCAATGTAAATCTATATATATATATATATATATATATAAATGGTGCCAAAAAAATTTATACTAACTCATCAATTGAGAACGGCCGATTTGACTCAAAATTTCTTTCAGTTGTCGGTAATTACGGTGGGAAGGTTTTAATGAAAGAAAATTTTGAGAAAAATCCGCGAAAATCTTGCAAAAATTATTTTAAAGAAATGGCTGGACCGATTTGACTTAAAGTTTCAATTAGTAGCCTGTAATTGAAGTGGAAAGGTTTTAATGAAAGAAAATTTTGAGTGAAATCCGCGAAAAATGTTGCAAAATATATTTTGAAAGATATTAGCATTTTCACACGTTGTATATCGAACATTTATGATTTAATCTCTTCGTAGTTCTTTTTGGACATATTTTGGGCGAAAATTGGGAGGGTATAATACCTTTAAGTAATTGTCAATTATAGAAAATTCTCAAAATATGCTAATTTTCTACAATCAATTGGATTCTCATTGCCTTGAAAACAAACTATTGTATATGAAAATAAATTTGCAGAGTTAAATTTAATAATAAGAAACCGAAAAGAGAGAGTATGATTAATCGCTATCATTACTTGCTCACGTTTTCCATAAAATCAAGATTTATTTAGTTTGAAAATCTATAGTAACGCATCAATTGAGAACGGCTGGACCGATTTGACTCAAACTTTCTTTAGGTTATCAGTAATTGGTTTTTATGATAGAAAATTTTAAGAAAAATCCGCGGAAAAGTCGCGGAACTGTAAAAAATCGAATGTTGTTCTTTTATATGTAAGTTTAAGTGCAGTTGTTCCGCAACGGCTTTTCGAATGGACAAATTGAAACTTGTAACGGAAAATTGCGGAATATTTAGAAGAGAACTTGATTTTGGTTTATCTATAATGGCTTTCCGAATGGAAAAATTTAAATTCTAGCTGAAAATCGCGGAATATTCCGAACAATTGAATTTTTCGCATGATTTGATTTTGGTTTATGGGAAAATTTTTGCGGTTCTTGCAAATTTCTCATAATTATGAAAATCATGATAATAGAAGTTAGCTGAATGGATGCCACAACTTAATATATTCCTTTTAATTGTACGTTGTCTTTGGCTGTGACAAAATTGTCATGTTCCTTCTTTGTTGTAATTTTATATTGAGTAAAAAATTCAAACAAATAAAAATTAAAATTATTCACTTCGTGCACAATGAAATCATTGGAGACGTCCCAATATTGCAAGGGTTCATGCTGCACAATCACCAGATCAAATCCGACCGAATATGTATAGAAGAAGACCAGTAGTAAATATGGACTTGAATCGCGCAGCATTTTAATACCAGTCAACAATCATCTAAAAAGGCGTTCACTGCGTTGATACCGATACATTATATGTGATATGCCAGCATTGTAATGTATTGAAAATCCAATGCGAAACCCCCGGCTTATGCTGTGCTGGTTTCAAGTTAAAATTGCCTCCATTGGCTCACTGCCACTAAACGGGAAATAATCTAACAATTGCAAAAATGTCTGCATGAGCGACCACAAACTCATTATTGGGCCAGAAAAAAGACCCGCTGGGGCCATGCAAGACAGTATAATGCTCCCACTATCGCTACAGGAGGAAATGCGTCCAACGTCGGTTGTTTACCCATCCATCCAACTACTTATATTGGAAACCCACATGACCATGCTCAAGATGTTCACTTGCAATCCGAAATGGACTGAAATTTCAAATCTTTTGCAGACAGACCAACTCCCAGCGATCGGCATAACATTACTGCATGAATATTCAAATAAAAGTTCAGAGTACTCATGGATTACATTGTGGGATTAATCTCGAATCATTTGACGCGCTATATATAGACCGAAGATTATCAGAAAATAATATCAATGCTTTTTCGTTGGCCAAATTTCCCTTCCCCGTATACAATTTATTGGTGTTCTGGTTATAAATATGGTCTCTATATCAAGTAAAAAAACGGCAAAAATAACGTTGGCTATCCACTGAAAGATATAGATATCACACTTGTCCATAACCGAAACTTTATCCATAATTTTATATCTATCAACACGACATATATGTGATAATGCTGATACCAAACATTTTTCTCGATATTTGCCCCCTCTTGACGGATTATAGGTGAAAAAACATAATTTTTTAACCTGCCACAATGTCCAAATGTGGTTTTCTCGGGTTGAATTGTTAGCTATAAAATAAAAAATTGGACACTTTAGGTTTTGGTTGATTTGACCCTCGGAATATTGACCGATCATTATCTAAACAGCCGTTCTAAGAATTTGGTCATAACTCCCTTCACCGTGTAAAATATGTGACCGTCTGCATACAATATGGGCGACTAGAAAATCTGACAAAATTAAAGTTTTCGGTTCATTATCTCAATATCACTGAAAATTTTAGGCGTCGTCCTTGACCCTAACCGGAACTTAATGTACATTTTCAAAACGATCAATGCGACATTCCCACCCACATTTCGTCATCCGCCGACATTTTTCATTTTTTTTTTTTGTCATAACTGTGGCTTGTATCCTGTTTAAAAAATAAAATATACAGACGAACGGACGGACACACATGCTAGTCGTCTAGTCGAGATATGACCGGTATACTTAAAGGTGGGTATAGGACCAATATTTCACGGCGATACATAAACTTGGGGCTGCACAAAGCTGCAATATCCTGAAAACATGGTATAAAAATATAGATCTCATTATGTAACGAAATTCTGTATAATAAATATTTTTGGATTTTTTGATAGATTTCTAAAATTATTAGTACTATTTAGCATTTTTTAAAAAAAATCTAAAATTTTGTCTAAATGAAGTTCTGGCAACACTGTTTAAAAGCGATATCAAATAAAGGGTAGAACATTTGTGGGCACCGTCTTTATAACCAATATGTCGTTGAAAGCCGTGTCACTGCAATATTAAATTTAATATTTCATTTTCTTCCACTGTGCCTAACTTGTTGATGATATACCAATGAATATAAAGATTACAGACCAGATTCGACGTCTGGTCATGAATGCTGCTATTAGTAAGTATTTGTGTGTGTGTTGGTGTGTGTGTCATTGGAAAATATATGTATGAAGTAAAATGTTTCTTTTTTGTTGAAAGAATAAATGACTACCACGGGAACAGGTTTTAGCTATGGGCCAGTCATTTTTACTAATTCGATTTAATGACCATTTTCGGTTATTTTTATTTCTTTATTTTAAGAATTTTACTATGTTTTGTTTTCTTTGGCATATTTATGAGATGTCCATACAATTTTTTATTCAAATCAAATGTTTGGGCTTTCGAAAATAAAGGGTTTTTTGACAATAAATCATAGTAAATAGCTAAACCTTTCAAATTTCGTACTGGCGATTATAATGAGCCAGGAACATTCTTTGTCAAAATTGTTTCTGGTATGTGTGTTTCGACCGATATTATATGTGTGCACGTTACCAAATATATGTATAAGCAATATTGCCAATATTTTTAATATTCCATATTGAACAAATCAACTTTTTGGTTTTTGTTCTACATCAATGATTTTGGTACATATATTGGGAAAAATGTTCTGACTCCGAATATGCGGTCAAATTTTTGTTCGTTTCGTTTTGGTGGTTTTAATTATGGGCAAAAAAATCTTTAAATTACACTGTTTGTTATATGAATATGGAATAATCGTGAAAAGATGCACATTTTCGCGACATATAAGGAAAATAATAAAAATATCTAATCTAAAACCCCATTACAAAATTATATATATAGATTTTGAAATAAAAAGGAAATAATATATTATATTACATAATATTATATTATATTATATAATATTATATTATAGCTATATTGTAAAATACACATCAATATTTACGCCTAAGTCGTATAAACCCTAAAATCATTTGATGCACATGCGGTCTCCAGGAATCGATGCGGTCCATTAGGAACCATGGATATACAAAAACTCCCACTATTTTTGGGAAAAATTAGATATAGCTATAATTTAGAAAAATATCAAAATCTGTATATGATTCCTTATCAAAGTTCAAATGGTCTGCAGAAGATTCAATTAAATCCGTGATATTTTTAAGCAGATTTATTACAGAATAGATGTTTACAAAATAGTAGATGGATTTTCACGAAGATGATTTTATTTTATCCTAAACGCGGGTACCCAAATCAAATGGCAGATATAACCAGTGAGCGGAGCAGTATAGTCGGACGGGGCCGACCGTATCGCACATTTGCTGCAAGACGGGCATATCCAAATAACACGATTTTGAAGAAAATGCGTTTTAAGTTTTCAATTTACTCACAGTTTATATGGAACGGAGGAACTTCTACAGCTTCTCAATTAGAGTGTGTAAGAGATATTCGTATGAATTTTTTACACAACATGAAGTCTATTATAGCGAACAATCGTGCATCATTAACTCGAAAATCAGGTTTTTTGAGTTATGCCTCTCTTGCAGCA